TATCTATATCTATATATATCCTCAACATGTAAAGAAGACAAATTAAAAAAGATGGATGAATAAATTTTTTTTCTGAAAACATGATAAAAAATAAATGTAAAAAAAAAACAGTTTGAAAAAGCAAACAGTATTCCCACATAGCCACTCCTGAAAGTCATATAAATCACATTCTAGGATCTTCCTGATTGTGTGAAAAATCTTTTACAAACACTCTTTTTTCAAACTAAGTTAAAAGAAAAAACAGTTGCAAGGAAAATTTTACAAAAACACCAACAATAGTTCCTTTTGAATGTATTGTAGAGTCGTGTGCATAGGGCTGCGTGTGATGGCTGGATAGAGACCGTTCTGGCACATGGTGCCCAGCCATGTGTGCTCCTTTGTGGGCTTCCTGACTCCCGGCCTTCCTACAGATGGTATAGTGTCTCAGTGGTCTGCTCAGCAGGCACACCGACACAAACCATTGGCCACATGAAATAAAGGGAACTCACACATGCACGCTTACACACAAGACCTGCATGAACATGCAACCTAACGTGTTCAAAAAATGTGCATCTGTTACAGTACTTTAAATTCATTCCAGTGCAGAGATGAATTATGTAAAATTCTAAGCGTGTTGTTTTATTTACTCTTAAAATGGAATCACGTTGGGTCAGACACCACACACTGGCAGGTGCTGCTGCCGCAGGGTTGCTTGCTAACTCTGAGCGAAGGACAACTGGCACAAACACCTGACTGGGAGCAAACACATGGGGTCCTGCCATCCCAAATAAGATATCAGTATGAACACAGCAAAGAATGTAAATACACATTCATGTGTGTGGGGAAGGGAATTAATTTCCTTAGCTGGAGAATAACAAAAAGAGCTGGACTGAGTTTGTGTTAATTAGACCTAATGTTTATGGCTTGTAGAGTTAAGAGATAAACAGCAAATACGTTAGTTGCAATTACAAAAGTAGGGCTAAGGACTTGTGTATTATCTTTATAGGCATATAGACACATTATGGTTGTAGGTCTATAGGCATGCCACCTACCTCTGCAGTAGGGAAGGGGGAAATCCCAGGCAGCAGTCCCAGTGGAAGTGGCAAGGCAGGAGAGTGTGGTGTGACCCTCCAGTACATAGCCTGGGCTGCAGCTGTAGCGGATTTTATCGCCTATGTTGAAAGTGGACCCCTGTTGGTAGCCATTCAGAAGCTGGCCAGGATTACCACAAGTGTAACTGGGCAGTGCTGTAGAGAAAGAAGAAGGAAACAAAGAAGAATAGATTAGCTTTCCTTATTTGTTTATTTATTTTGTTTTATCTAATGAAATTAAATGTGAATCAACTAAACAATGAATAATGATAACACCATCTAAATGTCAGATTTGGGACCGATACTACAAGCTCCATTAGAGCGAGACGATTTAGATGGATATTCCCTACAAAAAAACAAACAAATTAAAGAATGAACAGGCGGTCTGTCAAATTAAATGTTTTTGTCGGTTTGTTTTGTGGATAAAATCTAGGCTACTGCTCAAAACTCTCATTTACATCAGCAGTTAAGGATGTTTACATTACCAGAACTTTATGAACTGGTAATGTGTCAGCAAAGTTCAAAGAAACTTCTGTCAAGCTTTTGGTTCTTAACGTGTACTACTACTTAACCTGTTAGGCCCAGAGGGAAAAAGGAAATAAATCAAAGGTATCTAAAGACTTTTCAGGTGTTAATGCAAACTTCTGGTATCGGTCTGAAGGTACACTCAGACCGAACGCAATGTCCATGATGATTTCAGTGAGCCCTGTGGGGAGTTCCCTCCTCTGCATTTAGGCTTCAGTGTTTTCACCCCAGAATGCGTCATTAAATAGGAAGACCCCAGCCATATAAAAAAACTCCCAAAATAGACCGAATGGTTACTTCTAACGGATTCAGTGGTACTTCCTTGAAGAGGTCTGAGCTTTAGGTAAGGGAGAATGACGAACAGTCCTTCTAGGACTAAATTAAAATGCCTTTCTTAGGAGCCACCTAAATCCTCTACAGAGCATTCCTTATTTAATGCCTTGTAAATATTATTTCCTCTATATTCCATTCTAACTGAAATTCCCGACTGTACTTCTTTAACTTACATTACAACCATAACCAGTCCTTCATTGGTTGCTGCAACAAAATTTCTTAAAACGTTCAGATTTTTCAACTTCGGCGGTCACTGCTTCCCTCCCCCCATGCAGTGTCGCTTCTATTGAGTAGGAGGAGGTCAGAGTGGAGCAGTGACCCGTCTCAAGGTGTATAATTCACCACAGCCCACTTTACCTCCCTTCCCTGCAGAGTTTGCAAATACGGATTCCCGCTCTCACTTGGGTCTCTGCTTTTGGTCTGAATAAAGGTTAATAAGTAAATAAATCTCAAGTTAAAACAATACTGCAAATGTAATCATAACAAAGAACAAAAATAAAGAAAACCTTACAATGTCTAAGCATGGTCTGGGCCTGCTGGTAGGCCCTCTAGGCTTAAATTAAGCACTACCCGAAGGTGTAAAAATTTATAGTATCTCTGAAGACTGACAAAAACGACACCAGTATCATTTAAAGTAGTGCAATTAAAGAACAAATGCTGGACTGCTGACAGGGTACATTTTTACCCTATCACATGTTTTTTAGCTTTACTTTACAGTGAATTTTAATTGTTATTTGGTTCAACTGTCTGCCTTTACAGGCAGAGCTAAAACTGACTACCAACATATTAAGGGAAAGGATGAAAAACAAGATATTTTATTAATCAGTTTTTGACCACTAATCGAGATAAATAAATATATCACTTTTCTAAATAACTCCATTGAACATCATTAATTTTCTCTTGGCTTTACAACTGGTGTGGGTAAAAACCCATATGTGTTGTTTTTCCCTTTGGCAATGAAAAAAAACAAAAACAAACAACAGCAAAAAAATATTTCTGTTTGGCAGAAAAGACATGCAGCAACATATGAATTAATAGATACAGTAGCTAAAGGTGTCTGTTCCTGTCATTGAATTTAATAAAAGAAAACCATTCTGTATCAATTCATTACGCAGAGCATGATTTATTTCAAGCATTTCTTTTTGTTTGTAATTTATAAATATAAATTTATAAAGAACTTTGAAACAATAGATACGATCAAAGTGCATTACATATTAAAATACAACCAAAACAACAGAGTAAAACACAGTGAAAATCAGCACCTCAAGCGGTCTCAAAGGCCAGAAAACAAATGAAGAAACTTAAGAAGTGATCAAACAACATCGAGAGAGAAGAGACATAATTTATGTTTGGAGATTATTCCACTTCTTAGGAGATATAAACAAAAAGGTATGCTTCCTGCAAGCTTGCAACATCTGTTTGGACCTCTGCTCAGCAGCTGATTAACTGACCTGGATGAAAAGGAGGGCGTATTTGGATAGAGCAGTTCAGAGGTGTTGAATGAGAGCTTTAAGACTATAATATAAAAAGATTTAAATATATCCTAAAATGTACTGGCACCCAGCAGAGGGAAGCTAATTTTGAGGAAATGTGGTCTTTCTCCGGGGAAGGCAAGCTATAAAAGGTCACTGCCAGATAACCAGGTAATTAGCAGAGTTTTTTACTAAATAATGTTAAACAAAAATTAATTGGAGGGGAAAAAAGTATGATAAAAAGTGGTTCTGAGGTCAAATGAAAGGTAAGAGACATCAGATCTGACAATGCATATGAACTCATGACAGCACCCATTTAAAACAACAGGGAATTTTTTAAATCCTCTTTAGTGTTAGCGGTTGATCTTCTCAAAATAAAATTCTACTGATTCTATAATTCATGCTAAAGGTGCTCACTTCAATCATTTAGCCCATATAATGTATAGATTTAGGAAATACAATCTTTAATCATTAGGTTCACAAAAATCCAAACTTAAATTTGCAGCACAGTGACATACCATCAGGCACAAACACTGATAGCAATTTAAAGACACTAATAGAACAGTCATGGTTTTAGACAGTGGGAAGTAGCCAGAGTACCTGCAGAGAAACACTAAACAGATGCACAGGAAGAACATGGTAACTCCATGCAGAAAAACCTCAGAAACAGAGGACAAACAGCCAATAAAAAAAAAGAAGAAAGCAAACTAATTAAAAACACATATGTAAATTTTTTCAATTATATGAAAACTTGTTGAACTGGATAGATCTCATTCATAGAATGGTGTTTCTTAATATTAGCTCCAGGTGTGGTCCTGACTTGAGTTTCACTGAAAGAAATGTATCTGTTGTCTAAACAACCTTAAAGGTATAGGAGAGGATTTTTGCGAATGTTTGAAAACACCCACCCTCTCCACTTAAAAAATGCACATGTACAACCCTTTACCCACTCCTGAGAGGTTACGCTTATTAAACCTGTGCGAGAGCATGCACATGCCCATTTCTCCTCGTGCACGCTCTGTTTAAAAGTTGCTGTTTGCATTGCTCATACAAGCTTACTTTCCAAAAGATGATTTGCAATTTTTTCCACTATGTCAGACTCACCACGGGTATGGGAAAATGGGGACTAGCACGTAGGACGGCTTTATGTAAACATAGCACCAGAATGATTGACAATCAGGAGGATCACTTATTTTGATGATCCACCTGGAAAAAGGACATCCTTCACTATACCTTTAAAAATCTAAAGAGCGTAGCATTGGATTGAACCTTATAGTAAAGTTTTTATTCAGTTTCCATCTATAGTTTTATTGTTTGTATGGAGATGTTAGTTTATCACTGGCTAGGATATATGTAATGACATTTACAATATTATATATTTAAAAAAAGGAGTTGTGAAATATTTGTATGTATACCATCTTTCAGAAGCTTACAGAAAATGTATTTAAAGATGCTTTAGCAATGTATAAGTATTTAAACACATATGCAACCAGGTAAATTCTGCTTTTTTTGTAGTACATGTTTCTTTTTAAGACTTTTGCTTGTTTTATTTGATTGTGCAAGATATGCATCATATTAAAGGAATAAAAAGAAGCATAGCATTGGGTCGATTATTTATTTATTGCACATTGTTAATCCTGCAAGTATTGCTTTAATAACGGTATTTGTAATGTGCTTAGATGTTGGTAAATGTTTTTGCAGTTTTTGCAGTCAAAATAAATCCATATATGCTCATTTTGCTAATATGGTTAATCTATGAGCCACAGCATTCCGGATATTTAGAGGGTGAAAATCACAAAGAAGTCACTAGGGGTGGGAACTCCAGCTGCAAGCTATACCATTAGTGAGTTCATAGCAGGTGTTTTCCATCATCTGTTGAAGTCAGAACACCTGCTCACACACCAAGGATGCCCAAAATTACTCAGCACTGATTTCCCTTTTTAGGGAACCTGGTTAGTACTTGGGTTCTCTCCCTCTAGCCTAATCTGATTTCTCATGATAGAGTAACTTGTCACTTTCAAGCTTCACTGTGCTGTAGCCTTTATTTTGATCTGCCAAGGCTACGTTATTATAGCCTGTATTCCATCACTACCAGATTAGCACATGCACAAGGGTTCTCATTAGCATATTATCTGCTGGGACAAATTCTGGAGTGCTACAACTTGGCTACAGGGATGCCTTCTAGCACATACTGTAGCATGTATCCTTATTTCCCTTGCAATATATATTGTAAAAAGTAAAAAAAATAATGAATAAACATATGAATATAAATTTTTTAAACAAATCTGAAACATTTCGTTCAGGCCCTTAATAGAGAAAACATTTTCCCTTCTATTAAGTGTTATGCATAGACCAACACCTGGGATAAGGATAATAATAGGGCTGCAACTAACAATTATTTTGCAATTTGATTAATCTGTTGATTATTTTTCTGATTAATTCATTAAAAATCAGAGAGTCACAGGTTCCTTAAAGATTTTTTTTTTCTAAATCAAACAAGGTTTCTGGAAAGGGCATTTTGACAGACACAAAAGATTTTTTTTTACTTAATGCAAAATATTTAAATATTTGGTTACAATTATGACATAATTATTGCTCTAAATGGGTTTCTTAGTCAGCTTAATTCATATTTTAGAGTCTCTATACTCCAGTTAACGATTAGTCAATTACTAAATTAATTGACGATTATTTCAGTAATTGATTAATCACGATTAATCTGATTGTTTCAAAGCTAGATAATTAAATTGATTAATCCATAGTTAGAATGCACCATTATAGTTACATAATTTAAACTTTTTTTCTTTTAAATATCCTAAAAATGTAAAA